AAAAATCAATTTTTTAGGTTGTTATTTACAAAATTGTTCGAACTTTGCTGCAAGAAAGGGATGTTGAAGCCTTTTCCATAATGATACAACAGTTTTTAGATTATTGCAGTAAGGATAGTGACACTGCAGGTTTTGGTACTTACTTTAAAAATTATTATCTACCAAAAGTAAAAAATTGGGCATATTGTTATAGATTAAATGCAGGATTAAATACCAATATGCATATTGAGAGAATGCATAGAACAATAAAATATCTTTATTTAAATGGTAAATATAACAAACGTATGGACAAAGCTATAATGGCTATAATGAAGTTTGTTAGAGACAAAATTTTTGAACGCATTATTGCCATTCATAAAGGCAAAATATGCTCAAAATTGTGCCATATACGAGCTCGCCACAATGCAAGCAAACAATTAAATATTGCAAAAGTTATTGAAAAAGAATGTGGCTGGGAAGTACCTTCTGATAGTACCAATGAAATATATATGGTAGATGAAATTAAATCTAATTGTGTTTGCCAATTAGCATGTGATGAATGCAAAAGTTGTTTACACCAGTATTCATGTAACTGCCTCGATTCATCAATCAAATGGAATATGTGCAAACATATACACTTGGTTTGCACATATCGAAAGCAGAAGTCAAATGTTTTATCTGGAGTAGTTTCAGAAATAGGTTTGTATTTGTTTAAAATATATTTGTTTAACCACATATGGTGTTTATTGAGCATCCAGTCACATTGACTTGATAGAGAATTTGGATAAAAAAAATGAAATGTTCAATTATATCCTTCATTTTAATTCAGTTTTTCTCATGGAAATCATACTTGTAACTTTACTTATTTTATCAAATATGCAGAACATGTGAAACCTTTTTGAAATTTACAAATGCTGTATTATTGGTTCTTGCCAATATATTAAACAATGTGAAATTAAGTTTTACTTATTTTTTAGATCGTGTAGACAACAGTTTGATAATGCATACTGATGCAAAAGAAGATGAGGCTCTACAACTTGTACAAGCTATATCTAATAATTATAATCCGTCTATGCAAGAAAGAAATTTTTTTGAAAGAAAATCAAAACTAATAAAAGATATTAGTGATATACTTGAAATTGTCACTAATCTAAATGATGTATCTGATAATAGTACTCTGGAAACTATTTCGAAGTTTATAACACCTGTTAAACCAACATTGGAAGCCTCCAGTCGACATAAGGAAACTTTAAAGGAACTGAAGGTGATTTCAACTAATAAAAATATTAGTAAGCAGAGCAGATTTTTTGCAGTCAAAAAATCTTTAAAAGCAGGTGCTAAAAGAAAAATATTACCAGTGCCTTCACCAGATGAAGCAAATTCACTTGCTTTGCAACTAATTTTAAATAAAAAATTGTCAACATGATATTATATATATATATATATATATATATATATATATATATATATATATATATTATATATATATATATCAGAAGTCCTTCTGGAAGAAGTAGAACCAACACTTACAAAAATGAAAAACTGTAAAGCAGCTGGAATAGATGGTATATCAGGGGAACTGCTTCAATACGCTGGCAAAAATACCTGGAAAATCTTAGCAGGCATATTTACGAACTGTCTAAGATCAAGATGCATACCAGACCACTGGAATACAGCAAACATAATTCTCATTCATAACAAAGGTAACAAAGAGGATATTAAAAACTACAGACCTATAAGTCTACTACCAATTATATACAAGATATTCACAAAGATCATCTACAAATGCAATAACCTTCATAGATTTCAAAAAGGCTTTCGATTCTGTATATCCCAAGGCAGTAATAGAAGCTTTGACCAACCAAGGCATTGACAAACCGTACATAGAAAATTTAGCAAATATATACAGACAAGCAAAAGTTAAGGTAAAAATTTATGAAGACACTCCAGAATTTCCCACTACCAGAGTATACAATGAATGCATAAATCTGGCTCATTACTCCCAGAAATCAACAGAAGAATGAAACTGGCTTGGGCATTTTTTGGTAAAAATGCAGTTATATTCAAATCCAGGATGCCACTCCACCTGAAGAAAAAAGCATTTGATCAGTGTATACTACCAGTCATGGCATATGACTGCGAAACTTGGACACTAAAGAAACATATAATAGCGAAACTCAAAGATCAATGGAGCGATGCATGTTAGGTATAACCAAGAGAGATTGAAAAAAAATCGGATGGATCAGACAGAAAACCAAGGTCACTGATGTAATCCACAGAATAAAATCTTTAAAATCGCAGTGGGTGGGACATTTAGCAAGAAGAACTGGCAATAGATGGTCCACTAGAATTACTCTGTGGTATCCAAGAGGCGTCAAGAGACCAAGAAGACATCCAAATTTAAGATGGGACTATGACACAAGGAAACAAGCTGGTACAACATGGCATAGAAAAGCGAATATTAGATAGTCATAGGTACAAATGAAGAATGACTACTTAAGGGAGGCAGCATATGCTGAGAATGATGATGATTTATATATATATGAATGTATATATATATATATATATATATATATATATATATATATATATATGTATATATATATATATATATATATATATATATATATATATATATATATCCTTCCTCAGCCACAAAGGAAGTGTAGTGGTTGTAGTTATATCATGTATTGTCCTTCTCCAAAGATCTCTGTCTCTGTTCATTTCTTTTAACTAATGCATACATCTTTTGTATATTTCTGTAATTTAGTTAATCCATCTTGTTGGGGATCTTCGGATCTTCCTGGTGATCTTCAGCCTTCTACTTTTCCTTGGATAATAATAATATTTATTTCAAAATTGTGTTATAACTACAGCATACAAAGAGTAATTACTAACACAGAATGAAATGATCTCTAATATCTACAAAATAAATACTTGTGTATACGTATAGTTGGATATTGAATCCCTACATTTTTCTATTATTTGTCTTATATTCAACAGCTGTTCTCAAGTAGTTCTACTATTGGTAAATCCAGTTTGCTCTTGTGCTGTTTCTCTTTACAGGAAAGTTATTCAGTGTCTCAATGATTATGTGTAGCAGTATCTTGCTGACATGTGATATAACGGAAATAGTTTTATAATTATTGCATTTTGTTGCATGTATTATTAATATTTTAGATTTTGTCCAGTCATCAGAAATTGACATTGTTTGGTATGTTTACAGAGCACATGAAGCAATTTTACTGTACTAGAAAGGTTTATTCTGCGGCTTTGAGCATTTCTACTGTTTGTCATCATATCTAGACCTGGTGCTTTGTTATACTTGAGTTTACTCTACTCTGACTTTTACTCTAGTTTATATCTAGTCTTACTTCATTTTCCAGTATATTAGGTTTTTCTTCTGTTTTGTCAGGGGTTTGGTGTACAAGTTATAATTTAAGTTAGGTGAAGTGTTCCTTTAAGTATATGCACCAATAAAATTGTTCTGAGCCTCAACAAACTTATACTTTATTCCTTCTCAACTACAGAACATTATAAAACTTTACATGAACTTGACTGACAATCTATTTTATATTTTTTCTTGGCATTACTACCGAATTTTCTATACTGTCAATACATAATGAACCACCATAGGACAACATCCACTTTTAATGTTGTATATTCTAACACAAATTCCTGCCTTTAATTATCTTTATATAGCTTCCTGCTGTATTTTCTTTGTTTGTTCTCAGTGTTCCTGTGAGATCTTTAATGAATATGCTTTTCAATCCTCTACCTATTTCATGTAATATTTAAAATATAATTGGGATGTACCTGTAAATTTTGTAAAATAAAATAAATTATGTTTGTTTTCACATTTGTGCATTTATTTCATAAAATTTATACATAAAATAATATTTTTAACTTTGGAAAAAAGTGCTTTTATACACATATATCTAAAAGCTACAAGCTACAGAAAAACCCTGATCATATATTATTTTGATATCTTATTAGTTGGAAATTATATTTATTCAAATCATGAGAACTGTCATCATTTCTGTATGCATAAAATACAGCAATAGCTGCCAAATATACAAACTGAAATGGTGCAACAAGTATACAAGAAGCATTAAATTCAATGGAAAACTGGTTAATACAGTTCAATATAGCTGTCAACCCTAACAAACCTCAAGCAGTTTGGTTCAAGAAAAAAAGAAACATGTTGGAAGAACAACCTGTAATATTCAATGAATCTTATATTGAATGGTTTGCCTTACTATATATTCAAGAGGAAATATCTGCATCTCTAGTTAAAATAATCTTATGGTTACAACATTAGCCTAGTTTTTGATGAACTCTCTTCTCCTATTCAGTGATCTTTTATTCATTGTCTTCCTATAAATAATATACCTAATTAAAGAGTAGAAAATTAAAATTTCTATATTTACAGAAAACAAAATTTGTATATGACTATATTTAAACAATTATTACTTTTTAATATGATAGGCTTTATGGACACTGTCAATATCTCTAAAATATTTTATTACTTACCAGTAAACATTTTTAAATCAATGCCCTCAGTTTCATTTTGTTTGGTTTTCAGACATGCTGCTCTTTAGTTCTCAACTAAATATTTTACACACATCCTTCTACATCACATATTTAGGAAATTCTACATTTTAGTTGTGTTTGTTTTTGTTAATTTTGGATGAAGATGAAACAGAAACACTTGTCAAAATTCGAGGTTATGTCAATATTATAATCCAAGTCAGTTTTCTAACCAATCGCAAGCCTGAAATTTTTGACCAATCGTAAGCCTGGCCACTATCTTTTTATGGTTGCCCGAGACCCAAGTGAGACTTTCGAGCTAGAGAGTTGCAAGAAGCCAACTTTTGCCGTAAACGTAAGCCGTAATGAATAAGAAAATCTCAATGATTTAAAATTTCAGTACTTAAAAGGCCCGTTGGGCAAAAAGGGTCATGTTACAAGCAAGAAGAAGAAAATGTCATATGTCATGTCAAAAGTCAAAACAGCTTTTGATCATCAACTTTTACTTTATAATTAAGAACATTTATAATAAATATTTATTTAGAGAATCAAGATATGTAACGTGAAAAGTAGCAAATACAAAAAATGGTAGTTTGTTCAGTTGAGCATGGTGTCCAAGCGGATGTAATATTTCTTATAGAAGGAACTGCTGTAAATGGAGCATATATAAATGATATTAAAACCAGCTACATAATACCTTCTTTGGAGTGAGTAAAATTGAATCTTTTTTTTTTAACATCGTTAAGTTATTTTTTGTTTATCAGTTATGATCATCAAATTAACCAAATGCATAAAAAGTAACTTTGTTATAAAGTCGAAAAAACAGCAAATGTATTAAAACTATCAATTCTTTGGCACCAGTCGATCAAGAGGGTAGGATCCCTACGAAACTGAAATCTAGAGGATTCTGCTTCAGTTACTGATTGTTGGACAATATATTTTATTGGGCGCTCAACATTAATCTTATTTTGCATTTAAAATGTCTTATTTCAAAAAGCCACTATAAGGATCTAATTTTTCTGACAATAAGAACACATCACACATCATTCAATGAAAAAGTGATGCCATCATAAAAGTTATTGCTATGATCTTTATACTTAATATGGACAAACTGTATGCTGATATGTGGGTCATTAATGCCAAGTGGGAACTTTGATTTTAAGCTGTCAATGCTAAATATAGCAAGAATTTTGTTTAATTGTTTTTAGATGCTGTTTAGATGTAATGAAATGTTGCTATAAACATTTTGCTGCAACAGCTGCAGTTTAAAATTCATACCATTAGAACTTTCAGTTCAAAAATTGAGTGTTCTTCAAATAACTTAGCAAAATAATAACTGTTTATCCTCGCTTATTTCTTTTTTACAAAATATCTTCAACTGACATGTTTCTAGTTTAAATATCAATGGCTTAAACTGTAAAGTGGCTAACTCCACTTTTTAATGAAATTTAGATTATTGTGCCATCTGTTAAAAATAAATAAAATCTGTCGTTTGATGATGTTAAAATACCTAACATATTTACAGTTTTCTTTAATTCGCTCCACCTGTAAAACATCTATCCGTTTGGTTTCAATTTGAATAATGCAAACCGTCTAACTCCTTTAATTGTTGCCATTTTAAATACATGTCAGGGTGTTAAAGAGACTTCCCATTACGCTTCAGTTTTCATTAAAAAATAGAAACTAATTACTTCAATTATTAATAAAGTGATTTAGTGATATAAAGGTAAGCATATGTATTTATTTAAACATAATTATTCTGAATAATTTTTAATTTATTAACTTTAAAATCTCTTATTTGGAGTTAACTGGTTTACATTGTTAATTTACATGTCAAATTTAGAGTTAGCAGTATTCCATAAATAATTTTGTTAATTGAAACAAAAATATTTTGAGTTATAATATTGGTAAAGTCAGTTTCATATACCCAACTAATAACAATTATTACTTTATAAAGTAATGTTGTGTAATTATGATTGAGCAAAATTTCTTTTATTTATAGCTCTTCAGTTTAAGATGTCATCCCATTCTAAAAAACAAAAGGTAAAGATATAAAAAATAACCATAGAACATTAACATGTCAAGAAAAAACAGATAAAGATTTAATCAACCAGCTAGAAAATGATGCTAATTTTATAAATAAGTTACCTTTACTACTCATAGATCAGCAAAATTTATCTCCTCAAACTGACCAAATTAATTTTCTTATTATTGAATCCCAATTAAATAATAATAAAGATGGAGTTAAACAAGTAGACAACTACAATATAAAGAATAATTCAAATGACTTCTCTAATCAGATTTCTTTCATCAATAATAATTTTCCTAAACCATCTTCCTCTGATGCATCATCTTCACTCCAAAATTTTGAATTCTCTACTTTAATGAATTACAATAATGAAAGTGTAATTGGATATGAAATAGAAACACAAGATACTACTGCAGTATGTAGCTCAGAAATCAACTTTGATACAATAAATGAACTGAATTATAATAATAAAGTATTGTTGGAAATGAAATAGAAACGCAAGATACTACTGTGGTATGGAGCTCAGAAGACAACTTTGATGCAATAAATGAACTGAATTATAATAACGAAAGTGTTATTGAAAATGAAATAGAAACACATAATACTGCTGCCACATGTAGCTCAGACAATGATTTTGATATAATAAATAAACCAGGCAGTAGTAGATCTGCTGAAAGACCCCAGTCCAATTTCAGTGATGCATCTAACGAAGGATTCAGTCTAGTGAACTATTCAGACAATTCGGATTCTGACAATAAATCTGAAAATTTGGGGTCAGTAAAAAGAAAAAGAAGAAAAAGATGCCAAGTGGATAAATCTACTTGGGTTTATGAAGAAAACAGAAAGAATAGAAAAACTGGGCAAATATATTTTGGAAGAAAGATAATAACATTTGGAATAATAGAGTTCTGAGACCTCCTAGGACACTAAAGACAAGATGTAAATGTAAGGAACGGGACAAAGATTGTAAAATTAGATGTTCTTTGATTACAGAAGATGACAGACAAAATATCTTTAGTACTTTTTGGGAAAAAATGACTTGGGGAGAGAAAAGAATTTATGTAGATGCGTTAGTACAAATAGTAAAAACTCAACGTCACAGAGACAGAAAAAATGAATCTGAACAAGAAGAAATTGTTCTGTTATATATAATTTAAGAAAAGGTGAAAAGTTAATAAGAGTATGCAAAACAATGTTTTTAAACACACTGTGCATAGGGAAATGGTGTGTTTTAAACTGGAAGGAGACAAGACAAACACAAAGTGTTCATAAAAGAGAAAATGAAGAGGAAGTAAACAGTATCCCACCCATTGAATCTAAAAAAACCAAGAAATCTAATTCTTTTGAGTTGGAAAATAAATCAATGAATGGATTTCTCGATAACTTACCTACTATGAAATCACATTATTGTAGGGCATCGACAGGCAAAAAGTACATCATACCTGATTGGTCAACTAAAAAGGCCCTTTACGATATTTATGTAATCAATTGGTACAAGGAACGTAATGTAAAAGCCCTATCTGTATGCTCTTTTAATACTGCGATGGATTTAAAAAATTTGTCCTTATATCATCCAAAAAAGGATCAATGTCAGATCTATTTTTCACATAAATTAGGACAATATTCAGAAGACGCACATACTTCACATATTGAAAAGAAAAAAGAAAAAGAGAAGGATAAAGTAACAGAAAAATATGAATTTACAATGGACTTACAGGCAGTGATGTTAGCACCACATTCTAATGTTTCCAGTCTATATTATAGGACCAAACTCTGTGTTTTTGTTTATTTTTTTTACCACAATTTTTGTTTATTTAACTTAAAAACTCTACAGGGAACATGCTATTTGTGGAATTAATCAGAAGGAGGTTTCAATGCCGAAGAATTCGTCACAATTGTGGTTAAATTTCTATTGGACGAAATAATACCAGCATTAAAATAGGAAAATACGGATGAAAGTAAAAAAGTTATACTCTATAGTGACGGATGCACTTATCAAAATAGAAATGCAACCATGAGCAATGCGTTATTAAATTAAGCCATAACAAATAATGTAACAATAGAACAAAAGTTGGCCATACTCAAATGGAAGCTGACAGTATGCACGCATCCATTGAAAAACGGTTAAAGAATAAAATAATCAATGTTCCTGCTGAGTATATTGAACTATGCCAAACAGTTTGAAAAAATCCTGAGCCTTATAGAGTCCATTACTTAACCCATGACTTTTTCAAAAACTTCAAGGATGTGATTTTTTTAAGTCAATAAGACCTGGAAAGATGAAAGGTGACCTCAAGGTATGTTTAAATTATGCGTTGTATATTTTTAGCGTGATGAATTTTCTTTTTAGGTTACAGATTTGTGTGCCCTGCAATATAATCCCGATGGAAATATTTACTATGAATAAGGATTCGGGGTGATTGGTCCATATTGCCACAAAGAAAAGATAATAAAGTTACAACAAAACTTTGGAATGAACTGCCAGGCTTATATATGCAACCCAACGTAAAATAAAAAAGAAAAAGTTCGAGGATTTACAAGAATTAAAAAAAGTAATCCCTTCCGATTATCACGAGTATTATGATACTATTCCATTTGAAAATTAATCATTATTTTTATTTGTCAATTATTAGTTTTATGCATTAGATTTTAGAAAAAACTGTTTTGTTTCACTAGTTTCTAGTTTGTTATGATTGTTCAGGATTAAAATAAAAACTGTCTAACTCCAAAAAAAATTGTTTTCTTTTTAAGTAAAACAGCTAACTCCTGATTCTTTTTATAACGGCCAAAATATTAAAAAATATGGTATAATTTGATTATACTACAAGTTTTCAATTATAACATTATTAATATTTATATTTGTGAAATCTCTAAATGTCACTCTGCACCCTCCAACCAGTTTTTATTGTCTCCTGTAAAATTTACATTATTGGAGTTAGCTGGTTTACACTTTAAGCCATCAATATGTATTTTTGTGGTTAATAAATGATCTAATTTTACGTTTCACGTTGAACATCTTATATTTTTTAATGCTTAGAATAATTGGACATTTTTCACATTTGGGCCCAGTGAAGATAGCTTCAAATGGGTTTGACAAAATGAAATGTTGGTATTTGGAGTGTTGAAATTTACATTACAATCAAAAACAATAAGAAATTTAAAAACTAATACTTAACAATTACCAAAAAAGAAAAATTAAACAGTTTTTAAAAGTAAATAGTAAAATATCACTATAAATAATAAAGTTAAAAAAACATCTGTTGTGATTTGGCAACTGATTGTTTGAGGGTTCTGACTCTATTGCCAAATCTGTCCACTAACATATCAAAGGGCAATTGCCAAAAAAAAATCTAATAATTAATTGCAATTCATATCAAACGAAACAAGTATTAATTTATTATTGTTTATTTAAGGTATAAAATTGCAGAATCCATAAAATGAGATAATAAACATATACATTTTAAAAACTTTAATTCTTTCTATTTGAAGCATATAACATATACATTATAAGGATATGGCAACACTGTTAACGCAATATTTTGTTCTGTAAAATTGAATTGACAACTAATTTGAGGCTATCTTCACTGGGACCAAATATGAAAACACATCTGAATAATTTATATTATCCAAAAAATAAACTATGAATGTGAATTATCCATCATTATTATCATCATCAAT